CAACAACAACAACAATATGGCTTGCAATGTAACAAATGCGGATTGGCACTGCACTAACTGCACTGCGCCAGCCTGGGACTCAGCTCTAGCTCAACTACTACATACATACATATGTACATACATACATAGACGGGCTACTTGAGTGGCTGGCTTATTGTTGGCTGACAGTTGCAGTTGAAACTAAAATTGAAACATACATATGTATGTATGATATGTACGAACCAAGTTGAATGCAACAAAAAATCAATCGCAAATGTAGGTGTGTGCATCGTAGGACATTTGCTTTATTTCGTTCAAACTCGATTTTTAAATAACAATAGTAGATAGTAAATAAATGCAGCGCGGCTGAGAAACTGTAAGATATAAGCAAAAATATAACAACAAAAATGTTGCTAGCTGTTGCACCAGCGGCGTTTATATACTGCTTTTTGTGCGTTAAGTTTGGCGCGCAGGCGCAAAAGCATACATGCAAGCTTTTTGGTTTTCATGTATGTAGTACTATGTAGAAAGAAAATTTGCTCCATGCAACATATTATCGGTTGGCAATGCAAACTGAATGTTGCTGAGATGCATATGTACATATGTGTGCATATGAAGACTATGTACATACATACATACATATCGTCGTTTAAAGTACGAAACCGCGCATCAACAAAATGCAAAACCGCGTATGTGAGGTTGCATAAATTATTTTCTAGAGAGTAAAAACACTCATATTTCAAAATAGTTTTCTTTTTTATAAAGCGATCCCATTTCTGGCTAGTATATTTAAGAATGAATGGATAAGGATTGAGCCAAGAGCTTGTGTGGGTAAATTCAATTTTTGGCAGCAAATATCAGTTACGCGGTTTTGCAGAATGACGATACGCGGTTTTGTACTTTAAACGACTATATACGTGTGACAGTATTGCGATTTGTGGCAAGCATTTGCCCTTGCTCTTGTTGGGAATCAAGGTATACGCACAACACTTTTGATCGATGTGCGCGCGCAGGTGTTATTTAGCGGCTTGACGTTTTTTTTCACTTTTTGGTCAAATTTTATAACATTTCTGACGCTTCTGGTTATAGATTTCCAATATAATGCCTAGGAAAAGCACACTCAGCGATGCAGATATGAAAATATGTACTATAAATATGTCGAAGAAAGTATAAAGTATCAAATCAGTTATCGCTAATAGTATACTGGAATAGTAACAGATAATAAAAGAATTACATCAAACGATTATCGATAAATATATCGATATATCGAATATATTTTACAGGATTCGGTAGTCTTCTGGGGAATTGATGAAAACCAATTTTTCTGAAAGTCTGGATTGTATCTACGTATATAGATATAGATAGATAATTTCTCAGTTTACCAAGGTAGGCGATTTTAGGCATTTTTTGTTCAATTGAAGCTGGTGGTCGCAGACCAGCATTTCTGTGATGTATGCTCGTAATTATAGTAGTAAAATAGTTAAACTGATTTAAATGCAAAAATTTGTATCATCAAAAGCTCTTTCTAAGGCAGCTATTTTAAAGTAAATAAAAAATTCCTTTCGAGTAAATTTTTTTATTTTTTATGTAGGCTGTTTTAAAGTTTCACGATTAGCAATATTTTCCAGTTTTGTGCCCCTGGCTATTCATCAATAATTATACTTTGCTTTCTATTCAGTATTAAATGTTAATTAATCTCATTATCTTCCAATCAAGATTTTTTAATAAACAAAAAAATATGTACTTTCCAAAAACTCTAAATTCCAAGCATTAATACGAACTCTCTATACATACATAAATCTGCCTAGTCTCCACTCAACATAACCAACTCTACGCCATGTCTGATCCTTATCAGCTGCTTCATCAACTCATTTGGTCTCCCCCGTCAACCAAACGCACAACAATCATTTAACCTCATTTTATGCGTTCTCAACTGGCAATGACTGTAGCTGATGGCTCTGTCAATGTTGTCTTCGTTGTTGCTGCTCCGTCTGCTGCTGCTGATGAACCTGATGAGAGCGCTGATAATCATGCACTTGTTTGCCTCATTCGTGTGCCTCATCTGCTTCATCTGTAGTTACCTGTGTACCGCTCGCAGCATCCACACGCGCTTCAATAACAAATAGCATGTAACACAATAGTGAAGCGCAGAATTTATCCCCCTTGTCAACTTGACATTTACACCAACTGTCAATTGCTCATTTCAGTCAACTTGACTGCGAGACTCTTAGTGATTTTGTGGACCTGATAAGCTCAGAGCAACAACGCAGCTTCCCACAGCACTATTTAGCTGTGTCGTCAATTGTCGCTTATTAAAACGTTGCTCGATGAAAAGGAAAAATTAAAAACAAAAAAAAACATAATAAGCAACAACAGTTCGAGCATAAAATATGCAGTGTGAAATACAACACAACCGTATTTGGCTTGTATGTAGAGTGTCAAAGAGAAATGTGATAAAAATCTTTGACGATTCGCGGCAGTAGCGGGTCCTCAATTTTTGCTTTACGTATGTATATGCTTTGACAAAAATCAGTAAAAGTTTGCAAAGGAGCATAGGGAAGAAAACCAAAGAAACAAAAATTGTAAAAGTCGGCGTCAAGTGGAAAACTTGTTGAACGCGCAACTGCTTCCCTTCGCCACCACCCCCCGCCAAGAAACTTGAGGAGTATGAGCGTTTTTAAATGAATGTACATATTAGCTTTAAGTTGTGCGTGTGTGTTTGCACGTCAGGTGAGCGTGGCGTTAAATTTTTTAATGTCTTACAAAAGTTTTAACACTGCAGATCTTGAATAGGCGATATAATTTCATTACCTACGTTTTTGTTGTCTTCTTTGTAAGCCTTGTAAGCGGCGCGTCACTTTTGCATTGGTGTATTTCATACTTTTACATTGTATGCGAAGATGGGGTTTTTTAACGCTTCGCCAACATTTCCATGCCCGTACTCGTAACTTCATAGCGGGCTTGACGCTAAAGCTAAAGGCATCCATTTCGTATGCAAAACGCGTGCAGTGGCCACGTGAATTTTGTTGTTGTTGTGTGTGTGTGTGTGGATATGTTTGCTGTTTTAGTTGCTCACCAGTTCATCTTTATTCCTGCCGCGCGTTGGCGTTTCGTCAAGTGATTGTTTCAAATAAAAAAAAAAAAATGCTAAAAAACAAAAAGTTTGACTGGTGTTTGGAGCGTGATTTACAAGGTCAAGCGTTGAAGTTGTCGTCAGCAGCGCAATAAAAGCGGTCAAAAGCAACAATGCCAATATTTTGCTCCCATAACGAAAGCGGTTTTTGGGCAACACACGTGCATACATACTATGTACATATATGTATGTATGTATATATGTAAGTAAAAGTATGCATGGCTGTATTTGCCTGCGGTGGGAACAAATTTGGAAATATTTTCGCGTATATTTTGTGGTAGCTTTTTTTGTGTTTTTTTTTAGCATTCGCATCGAAATACTGTGTCAGCTGTCGACGTGAATTTAGCGCGGCATAGGTAGCACAGAATAAGCGAAAAAAGTAAGCTGTCTGGCCAGCTTTAAACTTGATTGCCACTTGACGTGCAAATGCCATTGTGATGCGCTGACTTACATATGTGCATGTATGTATGTATATATCTGTATGTGTGCGTGTATATATACAACGTATGTATACAATACAAAGGCAGGCCTAATATTACAAACGGAAGCTTAAAGCTTTTAACTCCACCTTCAGGACGCTTCCGCCAACTTGTCTCCTAAGCTGCACAGATTTTTGTACTAATTTCGCTTTGCTTGCAAGTAAGTCCAAGTAGTTTACGGCTATTTAATAGCTACGCTTAGCACACTATCTGCACACAGTTAAACATACATATACATATACATATGTACATACATATATGTATATGTTTGCCGAGCGTTGGTGTTAGTGAGTCGCTACGCTTGACATTATTGAGCTATTAAAATGCGCCATAAAATATTTATCAAACCATTTTATGACATCAAACGTGCAGATAATATAAAATGGAGTAAACTGGATTGGAATACATATAAATAAATAAATGGATATACGTAAAAAACAAAAAAAAAACCGAAGTCAACAACAATAAATAAATAAACTTCGCGAAAGTCATTGCGCTTACGAAACCTGTAATTCATCAAAATATCAAATTTTGCATTTGTTAAAAAAAAAAAATAAATTAGCATAAGCAGCGGATAACGTGTTTCCACCACACTCCCCCACACTTTCCACCTCCCTCAGCATCACAAATGAATGCAAAACGTTTAGACTCGCCCAACTAAGCCTTAAGTCCATTTTTTTTTTGCAGTTGAACGCATCTGCGCTTGAGTTCGACTTTGAGATGCAGAAAAACCGAATCACACGAGCAGCTACAAACAAATTGCACGTTATACTCACTCAGGGCTTTGGATTCGGCTGGCCGACTGCCAATTAAAATTGCTGAGATTATTTTGCAATTAATTTTAATTAACAGCAATTTTAACGCTGGCAATGACGCAGCCAAAAAGTCATATAATAGCGTTTATTGTTTGTAAGCTAAATAACAACAACGACAACAACAATTCAATTTACTGTTAAGCACACCAGCAGATAGACCATATTTAGCAAAATTGCATACACAAAAATTTTATTAATAAAAATATACTACTATACCTAATAATTACACATTTGCTTGAGGTCTTCGCCGCCTTGTATTAATAACCTAATGGAAAAACAAAACAAAAAATACTTTAAATTTTAAATATCGGTATATGCAAGTACAAAAATGTACTCATCAAATTTCCAAGCCTCACAAAAGGCAATAAATATGCTTGCATGTCGACAAAAGCAACTGTACGAAAAATGGCAACAAAAAATTTATTACCTTTCATTTCTGATTTATTTATTTCGTGCATTACATTTATGACAAATTAATTGATTGCTCTTAGTTTTTGCACAAATTTAATTTCTTGTATCTGCTTAATGATCAAATTTTTTATACAAACTCCTAACTCTGCTTTTCTTTCTCTCTCTCTCTTTCCACCCTTACAGTATGACGATGGCCTGCATGGCTATGGTATGGACTCGGGTGCTGCAGCAGCTGCCATGTACGATCCACATGTCGGACATCGGCCGCCCGGATTACAAGGCCTCCCCACGCATCATTCACCGCACATGACACACGCTGCTGCGGCGGCGGCAACAGTTGGCATGCATGGCTACCATACTGGCGCTGGTGGTCATGGTACACCTAGTCATGTATCACCGGTTGCTAATCACTTAATGGGCGCAATACCCGAAGTACATAAACGTGATAAGGATGCGATCTATGAGTAAGTAGAAAATTTATAATTAGCAAAATTTTTTTATTTTATATTTTGAATTCTTTTGATGTATGATTTTGGAAGTAAGGGTTTGGGTTCACTGCCGGGTGAATTTTAATAAAAGCCACTTTGAATGGGGTTGAAAATCACTGGGAAGTGTATTGCAGAACCTGCCTGATAAATATGTATCAGATCAAGGAAATTCCTAGACAATCTCGTTTTATAATAGCAAAAATATTCCATAAATTTGAGCTGGCTAGCCACTGCCTGGCTGCACAGAGACCATTGAGGTCCATAGCGTTACCAGAAAAACTACGACCACATTACACTGGCTAATCTCTGCAGGAGCAATGTTGAAAAACGTCGCACGAAGTCCTCTTGACAAACTTAGACACCTTATCGTACCCTATTTTATCAGCTACTCTAAGATTCAGCGGAAAGCTTGTTCCGAGGAGGCTAATCCGTAGTCTACTAAGGGCTGGATACTCGCGGTCGAAGTTCTGCAGTGTCTGCTCTTTTGTTCCCCATCCCCTGTATTTTTTTCTTATCATTTAACAGTGCCAATTTGGTGGCCAGCAAAGTGTGCTGTTAGTACACCAATCTACCTAGCCTAAGATTTTCCCTGTTAAGACATAGGAGAAACTTTGTGAGCTTGATATCATATGACAAGTTCTGAGCACTTTGCTACTTTGCGTTTAAATCCACATTTTCTGCGCCTGCCGGATCGTATACAAATCGTGCCTCCGTTTAACCGATTGTAAAGAACTCGTCACCGCCTCTATCAGCGTAGCTTCCGACAAAGCGTCTTCTTTCGAGCACTGATCAATGTATCGATAAATTTATCAATAGAAATATTAACACAAATATCGACAAATATGTAGATAAATAGATAAATATATCAAGTACTATATCGGTATAAATAGACAGTCGATAACTTTTTCGATTAATGTACCGTAAAATGGATAGGAATTTATACTTTATTATTAACAAATATATCGACAAATATACCGACAGGTATATCGATATATCGATTTCAATATCATAAAATGAATGGGCAAAAAATAAACAGTCGATAACTTTCTCGATTCATATATCTATAATGTTACCAACGTACTACAATAAATCGATTGTTAATATTATTAAAAACATTCGTGGATATGTTTGTCTGTCAAAACATCAATAATTAAGTCTAAAGTAAATCGATAATTGTGTGCAAAATATGTTTTTTTTTTTATTGTAATACTCCCTCTTTGTCTCTTGGATATCCAATTACTCGTAACAAGCCTCCCCTTTCCCTTGGCTTTTTCTTTTAATCTTGAGCCGTTTCTGTGCAATACTACATAGCTGCCAATAAATGTTCTCTTGCCTTACTTAAATAAAATATATTTCCAACATTTTGCCAGCGCTATGCCCGGCTCAATGCAAAGAAATTAAGAAATTTGAAAGACAATTGAGAAAAAAATTAGCAAACCTTTCATTAGACTCCACTTCTCCATTCCCATGCCTGGCCTTTTCCTTGTACGCGTGCGTCACTTTTTCCACACAACGTTCTCCTTTTTTTGAGGGCGTTGTCCGAGTGTAAATTGTTAAATTAGGGGTTCCTCAAATTGTGCGCTTGCTTGAGCGTGTCAAACATGTATGCATGTAGGCAGGTACGAGTGGAAACGCTGATTAAAAGCCAAAATTTATTAGGGGTTAGTTGATTAGTTAGTTAAGAGTGTTGGTGTTGTTATTGGCATTGTTCTCGGCGACCGTTTCGGGTGCGGTTTAGAGGGACGTTTTGACGCGTTCCACCTCGTCAACTGTTGCGAGTGTTAATTTGCTGATTTTTACACTGGCCCGCTGGCGGTGGAGTGGAGTCGTTTGTTTTATTTGGTTTCCATGTATTAGAAAAATTAATTTTAATTTGGTTTAGTTGTATTAGAAGAATTAATTTACTGCAAGGAAGTAAGATTAATAAATCAAAAATAAGAAACGATTTCGCGCCATTTCCCTTGCAAAAACTAGCTCGCGGCCTACTCATTCTGGTTTTAATTTCTTCTTCGATAATTTAATTGCGTTTATTGCTCAAGGTGTAAATGCAGGTAATTACAAAAATTTAATGTGCGCATTGCGTGCACTGAAACAGCAACAACAATTATAATAAAAAGTAGATATATGTAGATATATTTACATACCTGCCACTCAGCTAGTTGATGCTGCGTACGCTCTCCTTAATCAGCGCACACGCTTTGTCGTTGCACCAAACTCGATTGCTCATTTTGCTGCAAATATTAGCATTTTGAATTCATCTATGCCAGCGATTACTTTACCGTTTACTAGTCTATTTGTGTTCTTAGTTGATTTTTACCTTCCCATACCACTTCGCTCTCTACTTATTCTTTTCATGCCCCCTTTTTTTGCTGCTGCTGCACAACTGATTTCCGTTTAGCGACTACCATAAAAATAACTAACCACTCATTAAAGCTGTAAACTTCTTTTGCATTCAATGGTCTCGCTAGAGCACTGGCATGTGAAGTTTAGTTGGCGATAGTAGTGACTATGCCGCTGCTCTCTGCTGTCTGCTGTCTGCCGTCTGCCGTGTTAATCCTTATGGCCATGAACAACAGCAAAGCTGCAATAACAAGAACACTGTGCGCGATCTCGGCAACATTCCGCATTGTTGACGTTATCGCAAAAGTTGAGCAGCAACACGGCAAGCTTGCGCAAGCATACATGAACTCACAATACACCATTACACAACACTGCCCTCCACTTGTCTTGCTGTTGCTGTTGCTGCTGCCACGGTTGCGCTACAGAACATCAACACACTTTGGCGGTCATACGTGAAAAAATGAGGACACCCAAGCCAAGTGTGTTGGTTGCCAGCCTCAGCGGCAGCTTAGCAACAGGCCAACAAGCTGAAACCAGCCGCTAAGCTTGGGCTTGCATGCGCGTTGCATTGCGTGTATGCTTTATGTGGCTAGCGTTTGCTGGACGATTCAGCTGCCGGAGTCGCACCCGTCCATGCATTGTGGCAATGCGTACGATGAGCACAGCCGCAACGGAGGCCGGCTGGGAAGCTAGCAATGACATGCGTGCAGTAAACATTGGCTGCCTGTTGGCTTGGCTTGCCTTGGCGTGCCATTTAATGACTCCACGCGCTATCGCAGCAGCAGCAACAGCAGCAGCGGGGCGATGATCGTCTGCGTGTTTGTTTGCGTTCTTTTTTTTGTTTGCATTTATCGTAAGCGCCTTATTTGGTCATGCCACTGCACTTTATTACACACAGCACAGTACGCTGCAGCGCTTTTGAGCGCGTACCTATTTAAATGCTTCCATTCATGCCAATGCAGCAGCAAACATTCTCGATCAGCTTGAACGTGGACCGTTTTTTCGTTCAATTCAAATGATCTCCACCAGCTGTTTTTTGTTGCGATTTATTTTTTACTGTTGCCCAGCTTGGCAAACAGCTTCTCTCACTTAATAGGCGCAAATATTTACAGATGCTTAAAAAACACATACATACATATATTGTACGTGCATGTGTGGGTATGTAGTGTGTGCAACCGTTGCTGCTTCCTGTTACTTTCATGTGTCTTCTATAATAACTTGCAATTTGCAGCATTTATGAATTTATGAATGAATGCAATAAAGTTAACGAACGCAGAATACTCGTAGCAAATACATATGTATGTATATAAGAACACTGTGAATGCAAAAAAGACGTTGAAAAATGCATTGAAAGAAGTCGCATCGTCGATCTGAATGCGTCCAATCATGCAAAATATGACAGCTTTTTGCTGCTGTCAGCCTTTTTGCTCTAAAATGCCATGCATGCAAATATCAATCAGCTGTGCATACAAATGCGGCTACTTACAAATACATACATACATACATACATATGAAAATGCATATTTCTTATATTGTAGTTCCATTTGCATTTAATGCCACTTATTAATTGAGCGTTTCTTCCTACATCACGCTCTTACTCACTCTTCATCTCTGTCTTGCGCTATTGCTCCCACTCTCTCTCTCTCTCTCTCTCTCTCTAATTCATGTTTTCCTACTGCCACTGTCACTGGAAAAGTGTTAATTTGTATTATACGCATACTTCACTCAAGCACCAGGACGCACCGATCTCGACTGCAGCCCCGTTGTGACCCTAGTGCACATTGCACGCCTGTCTGTTTTTGTGACAAGTTGTCATATTGTAATATGTCATCTTTTTGACAGCAACATAAATACCCGCGTCACTTGTCGCATTGTCTGTCGGTCATTCCTGTTATGCACTATGTGTATTCGTACATATTTGCAAAAGTGATCAGCAATATTGTTGTATTTAGTTGATCAATATTATGTACAAAAAATATGTATGCAACTCAGTATTTTTGCCACTCACAAGTCGTCTTGTTTGTCCGTCCATCATACTGTGCGTGGCTGTGTTTGTGCGTCGACTTTTGCTTATCAAATACACAATTTGTATCCGTCATAAGCTGTTGTGGATTACAAATTAATGTGCGTGGAACAGCTAGTGAGTCACTCAGCTGTTGCGAAGTGGATGATAGTCATAATACTGGTGTTAATAACTGACCTATGACAATGGGGGATAAGGTATTTCATGCGCATGTTAATAAAGCATGAGCTTAACAGTGAATTTACCTAAATATTGAGAGACAAACAATTTTCTACACATATTTGTTTACATGTACTATGTATGTATGTACGCTAAAAAAGGTATCAAAAAATATAGGGTTACACGGGGTACGTCATCAAAGGCGATAGTAGTTGTATAAGGTAAACATTAAACTAGCTTTGCTTTCGACATCTGGCTGTTTAGAGCTTTAACTCGTTTTGAGCTTTTCTAGCTATCCAAAACATTTACGACCAAAACATATCCTCCTGTTTAAGGTTCAAAATCTTTAGTCGGATCACGGGCAAGCTGGTGCCCACCAACGGTTTAGATTTTATAACAAAGTGCAGAGAGTAAAAGCTTCCTTTGGTGATCGCTTATCTAAAAGAAACACGAC